GCCCAGGCTGGAGTGCAGTGGCGCCATCTTGGCTCACTGCAACCTCTGCCTCCCAGTTCAAGCAATTTTCCTGTCTCAGCCTCCTGAGTAGCTGGGACTACAGGCATGAGCCACCACACCCGGCTATTGTTTGTATTTTTAGTAGAAACGGTTTCACCATGTTGGCCAGGCTGGTCTCAAACTCCTGATCTCAAGTGATCTGCCCACCTCAGCCTCCCGAAGGGCTGGGATTATAGGCGTGAGCCACCGTGCCCCACTGGAACTCAATTTTTAACACATATTTTTAACACTAGCTTTTGTGCTAATAAATTAAATTGATTAATTCTTTAAGAAAACCCCAATCGTGTGTACTGTAACAAGTAAAACTAAGTTGGTTATAATGTGACAAAAATACAAGCAATAATAATAGCAAAATGATCCAATAGGAACCATGCAAAGAGTTTATATTATAACTCATGTCCCCTTTCCTGCAATGTTATTAACTTCCATCCCCATTTTCCATATCAAGGAAATTAAGTTTGGAGACACTGAGTGAGTTACCTAAGTCACAGATCTGGTAGGTGGAGAGTTTCTCTCACTTCAGGGACCACAATCTACAGAATAAACTTGCACATTCTACAAAATATTTGTTACCATTGGAAGTAGGTAGGCAAAGTGTTACTAGCATCGAGTTATGGCAGGACTAAAAAAGAAGGGTGGTGGGCTGGTCTTGCTTCTACAGTTTAAGGGGGATCCGTGCACCGAGATGTCTGGCTAAGTGGTCATTGTAACAAATGGCAGAGATCGTGAAAACATCAGGGAGCAGGTGGTGGCCGTTCCAGTTTCTGATCTCAGGAGGAGGGAAGAACTGCCGATATCTTTACTGTGAATGAGGGAGAGAAACGCTAAAGCGCAGAAATGCTCAGAACCAAAGAGCTGGATCACTCATGCTTCTAGAAAAGACATTAGCATCTTCTCATTGCTCATCTACTGTGCCTGGCACAGCCTTATTTTCTAGCTTTCTGAATGTGAGTTCCATCCATATCCTTTGCATAAGGGTGGTACCGGGCTGTGGAGAGCTTGGAATATGTGTCCATGGGCAGATGGACTGTTCTGGTTATTATAAAACGGCCAAGGGAGGGCGCCATGGCACACCTCTGAGTAACCTAGGACACTCTCTCCTGTTCGGGAAATGCAAACCATCCATATGGCAGGGTCACAATTATAAAGCTTGATCCTGTCACGGGAATGGTTTCAAATCTGACCAAGCTCATGGCACACATGGGGAAGCAATTGTGAAATCCCTTCGTTCTCTGGCTCTGGACACGCTGTACTGCGACAGTGGTTTGCGGGTGACAGAAAACATAGCTGTGTCTACTGGGAAAGACGGGGGAGATTTCTTCCCATGGAGTTCTTTATAAAGCAAGAATGCGTGAAACTGTCAGTAATATTGTAGTCTATAAAATGAAATTGCTCTTAGAGGCTAATATTGCACAATGACTACTTTTTTTGCTTATTTGGAAAAGATCTTTATCGCTTGTGAGTATTAAGAAGTCAACATATAATTGCCACCCTAAACATTGTGTTCTGGAATGCCTGATTTATTGAAATCAGTGTGAAACCTTTTTTTTTTTTTTTTTTTCCAGATGAAGTCTCACTCTGTCGCCCAGGCTGGAGTGCAGTGCGGCCATCTTAGCTCACTGCAATCTCTGCCTCCCGGGTTCACGCCATTCTCCTGCCTCAGCCTCCTGAGTAGCTGGGACTACAGGTGCTCGCCACCATGCCCGACTAATTTTTTGTATTTTTAGTAGAGAAGGGGTTTCACCATGTTAGCCAGGATGGTCTTGATCTCCTGACCTCGTGATCCTTCCGCCTCGGCCTCTCAAAGTGCTGGGATTATAGTCATGAGCCACTGCACCCGGCCAGTGTGAAACCTATTTTAAATAAAAATCTAGTTCAAAACCAAGGCCAGACATGGTGGCTCATGCCTGTAATCCCACACTCTGGGAGGCTGAGGTGGGAGGATCACTTGAGGCCGGGAGTTCAAGACCAGCCTTGGCAATACAATCTTCACCAAAAAAAAAAAAAAAAAAAAGGCAGCAATTAGCCAGGCCCGGCGGCACAGACCTGTCTGTCCCAGGTACTCCGGGGACTGAGGCGGGAGGATCGTTTGAGCCCGGGAGGTCAAGGCTACAATAAGCGGTGCTGCGCCACTGCACTCCAGCCTTCGTGTGAGACTGTGTCTCCAAAAAAAAAGAAGTCTGGAAATATTGATAAAGGCATAAATTTACACCCTGGAAGTTGGACACATAAATCATCTGCAGCCATGTATGGTGGACACAGGTGCAGCAGATGATGGGAACGTTGCTTTAGTGCACACCGTGCACTGCAGTTTTGCATAACCTATTGAACTAAGAATTCCTAGTGAGGGACAGCGCATTAAACATGTCATAACAGCTGGCCGGGCGCGGTGGCTCAAGCCTGTAATCCCAGCACTTTGGGAGGCCGAGACGGGTGGATCACGAGGTCAGGAGATCGAGACCATCCTGGCTAACATGGTGAAACCCCATCTCTACTAAAAGAATACAAAAAAAACTAGCCGGGCATGGTGGTAGCCACCTGTAGTCCCAGCTACTCGGGAGGCTGAGGCAGGAGAATGGTGCAAACCCAGGAGGTGGAGCTTGCAGTGAGCTGAGATCCAGCCCCTGCACTCCAGCCTGGGTGACACAGCGAGACTCCGTCTCAAAAAAAAAAACAAAAACAAAACAAAACAAAAAAACATGTCATAACAATAAGCTATTTATTATGGACAGTTGTCTGTTTTCAGACATTGTGGCTACCCCAAACCACTTTAAGTGAAAAGACATGATCATTTAGTTTAACCCTGTTTAAAAGGGTACACTGCTCTGTAATGTATTTTCTGTGGAAATCTTTCCTAGTTGGTCCATTGTTCTGATGATTAAACATCTGTTGCACTAGAAACAGAATATAAGCCGACAGTGCACTAGAGGACACTCATGACCATATTTCATCATTTTGTGATTCAATGACATTAAAGGGAGTAAAGTAAAAAATATAATAGGTATAAATGTGTAATTATAAGGACGAGGAGGGAAGTTCTTGTTGGAATAAATTGGCTTCCAGGGCCCTCGTGTCGACTTCACTCCTTGTGAGGAAGGTCGTGTGTTGCTTTCACCCTGAGGGATGATCTGAGAGACTTCACCAGGGACACGTGCTTGACAGATGCTCTGAAAGCAGACTTTAACCAGCCAACGACAGCAGCGAGAAATACACAGTCTCAACAAAGTGCACCCTTTAGAAAGTGCTGGGCATATAAGTAGTGAGGGCTTTCGTTATTCTAATACACATGTTGACTAAATGGGCACTGTCTTCAATTCAGATGACAAGACACCTCTTTCCAGCAGTTTAAATGGGCCGTGTATCTATCTCAAGCATACATTCAGTGAGAAATTCTGTAAGATTCCAAGATATTTCAAGAATCACATCCTTTTTTAACCCTTTACTGAAGATAAAATGAAGCCTGACCTCCTGAGTCTTGGAAAATGTGCATTTCTTAGAACTATTTAAAAAATGAATCCTACGGCTGGGCATGGTGGCTCACACCTGCAATCCCAGAACTTTCGGAGGCCAAGCGGGGAGGATCACCTGAGGTCAGGAGTTCAAGATCAGCCTGGCCAACATGGTAAAACCCCGTCTCTACTAAAAATACAAAAATTAGCCGGGCGAGGTGGCGGGCGCCTGTAGTCCCAGCTACTTGGGAGGCTGAGGCGGCACAGGGGAGAGATGCTTGAACAGAGGGCAGAGGTTGCAGGTGAGCCGAGATCCGCGATCACTCCACTCCAGTGTCGCGGTGACAGAGCGGCGAGGCTCGGAGTCTCAAAGAAAAAAAAATTATTAGTTATTTTTGTAGGACAATCCCTTCTAAGGAGTAATTCATTCAGCTTTCAAGCATGTTGGCTGAACATTAGAGAGCTTTGTCAAATCCTAAGGGAACAAGAATAGTATTCCACAAATTAGCTCACGGAATATTTATGCACTAGAATCAAATAGAAAATGATTACCATACATTTGACCTCATTTGTTGAAAACTTTTAGTAGTGATTGTGCTTCATTTTAGAAAACCATGACCTCCACGGCCGGGCCGCGGGATGCGCGGAAGGCCGGCGTGTAACTCCCGGCAGCATTTGGGAGCCGGCCGGCGCGCCTGGGATCCACGGACCATCACGCCGAGGGATCGTCGAGCCCATCCCTGGGTAACGACCCGGCGGGGCGCGCGGTGAAACCTCCGGGTCTCTACTAAAAAATACAAAACAATTGGCCCGGGGTAGTGGCGGCGCGCTTGTTAAGTCCCAGCTACTCAGGATGGCTGGAGGCAGGGCGGAGAATGGCATAAACCCGGGGGCGGGAGTTTGCAGTGGCTGAGCAATCCCGGGCCGCCACGTGCACTCCAGCGCTGGGCGGGACACAGCGAGACTCCGGTCTCCACAAAACGAAAAAAAAAACAAAAAACAAAAACGCAGGACCTCAGCAAACCTGACGGCAAGTTAGGTGCAAAATAACGTGGTCCAGGTTGACACAGCCCCTGGAGGCCGGGTGAGCCACGATTGCCTCTGCTGGGTAATTTCTAGAGTCCATTTGCTGTGGGCCTTTATCATGTTTCCAAAATAAGGAAGTCACCCAATGACATTTTAAAATATAACATTGATACCGTTTGACTAGAAAATAACTAAAATTGGGCAAAGAGGATATTTCACTCTCATTGGAGGATGCAGCATTTTATTCAGGTTTAAAATTTGTGATTCATCCAGGTGTGGTGGCTCAAGCCTATGATCCCAGCACTTTGAGAGGCCGAGGTGGGCAGATATCTCAAGGTCAGGAGTTCAAGGCAAGCCTGGCCAACGTGGTGACACCCTCTCTAGGCTAAAATTACAAAAATTAGCTGGTGCATTGACACGCGCCTGTAATCCCAGCTACTCAGGAGGCTGAGGCAGGAGAATGGCTTGAATCTGGGAGGCAGAGATTGTGATGAGCCAAGATGGTGCCACCGCACTCCAGCCTGAGCAACAGAGTGAGATCCCATCTAAAACAGAAAAAAGAAAAAAAAATTCTGATTCTCTAAACTGTGGGTCAGGGAACTGCAGAGAACATGGAATCTGCAGTGCTGTTAGGAAAGAATGGCATTGCAAAACAGCAACAATTCCTGAGCTTCTTCCCTGGCAGAGTCCATTTTAGCGACAATGTTGACAATGACCCAAAGTCTCTGGGTTTTCCGGCGGAGGGCACAGCTGATGTCATCCCTCCTGTGCTGGCAGTTTTCTAAGTGAGTTCAGATCCTCTAGGAAGGAAGAACGGACACTCTGCGATCTCTGCGGGAGGTCTTTGCTTTGCAGCGGCAGGTCTCTGTGTGCAGCGCTGTGGAAGAAGTCTCTGTGGGGGCCAAGCCTCCCAGGGAGATTTACAGGCTCCAGGGACTGGAGGTTTGGACCCTATCTCCGCCTCTCCCAATCCATTACAACACGTGTTTCTAGCATCTGTGGAGTGCCTGAATGAGGGGACATGCCTCCAAGTTGTCCTCAGGAGATTCCGAGTTGTTCGTGGATGTCGGATGTGCGGTGTCCATGGGAGTGTCTGGGATTTTGATGTCTTGTGCGTCCAGCAGCGTTGGCACCTCCAAGCTGAGGGAAGTGGGGTCCCTGCCTCCACCTGCCCGCATGTGGGGTCTCCCTAGAAGGAAGCCTTTGGTAGGTGGGTGGGAAGATTAAGGTGCTCGAATGCGTACTGCGAGGAGGTGCAGAGGCACCAGGCTCTAGCAGCCTCCTGCCTCCAGGAGAGGCCCAGGTCGAGATCACTGCGGCGACCAACGCCTCGGATCACTCGAGGACTAGAAGGCACCCACCAGCTGTGTCGACAGGAGTGCGCAGGGGCCTTGCACATTGGGCATATTGTGGCGTCAGTTTCGGAATCAGCCTGCGTGGAGTCGGTCCAGGACACCCAGCCAGGATTCCGTCGTCGGGGAAAGGAACGCCCACGTGGCTTGGATGAAGGACACTCCAGGGGATGCAAAGGCTCTGGTTGCTGGGAGGAGCTGAGGGATGACAGATACCCCAAGGATTCTGCGGAGGTGGTCGTGTTTGGTGATAGGGTGCTCGCAGGTGGCTCCTGTGAAGGTTGCTTCAGGGGACACAAAGGCTCTTGTGACTTGGAGGAGCTCAGGGATGACAGAGACTCAAAGGACCCTACAGAGGTCTTCGGGACTGATGACGGCGCGGAGGCCAGGGGAGCCGGGGGAGCCCGTGGGGACACATGGAAGCTGGTGGGAGAAGCTTTCCCACGCCCCCCACGTGGCCGGTGGTTCCTCACAGATGTTCGTTTGTACACTGACCCCGAGCGGGCTTGGCGTGGAAGGTGATGGGAGCTGCCCTCAACAAGGAGCTTCCTCAGGCACCTGCAGCAGACGGGAGGCACAGGCTGCAGCCAGGAGCACTGGGCCCCTGCGGCCCACGCCTCTCCAGGGCCCCCCATGCTGACTTCACAAAGCTCTGCCTACCCCTGCCCCAGGGCTTTAGTGACATCCTGGCTGTCATCTCCCCTCCCAGATCAGCCCCACGCCCTGGGCTGGCATCCTAGGTCCTGGTAGGAAGGAGGACACGGGAGAGAAGGGGAAAGAGCCTCACTTTTTCGACAGGAAAGTGTAGAACTCAAGGTTCTCCAGTTCTTTCAAGAGACTTCTGCAAGCTGGAAAGCATGAGATGGGTTATGGTGGTGAGGGAGGGAACTGGGACTTACAGGAGGCTGAGTGCATGTGCCCTTAGGGGAGACCCCGGGATCGGGGATTAGACCCTGGAGCCCCAGCATCCCTGTCCAAGGCCACATGGCCCCAAGAGTGAGAGCCAGGTGCCCGGGGGCCAGCACTTTGTCATTTACAAAGTGCTTCCCCACACGCCACCTCCTGGGGAGAGAGGACAGGCGCACTCTCAAAGAGGACTCAGCCATGTTAAACAGCTGCCCACATAGACCTGCATCCCCTCCAGCATGTCCAGGTGGTCACTGGTCCCCTCCCCCACACAGTCCCCTCCTGGGCAGCACCCGCTCCCTGGACCCAAGGCTTCATCCCAGCAGGGAACAGGAGACATATCCCAGGTTCCAATCGCCTTACCAGGAGCTTCCCCACCAGGCCTCTGCAAATGACTTCCTAGGAGACTTGGTGCTTATTCCTAGGAACAGGTGAAGCTGTCATCTCTGGGGCTTCTGGGACCCTCAGAGCCTTACCTTTCCAGGTGATGTATTTATTTCCGATCCTGAGCCATTTCCCCACTTCAGCTTTATCCTGAGAGACAAGACAGAGTGAGGGCGCAGGCCGGGTCTCAGTCTCCTGTCCCCACAGCTGCAGACTCACAGTGCTCGTGAATGACACACTTTCTCCGCCCAGCTCACGGAGGCCTGTGTGCTTCTCTTTCCTTTCACTCGATTCTAAACTGCATAATAACCTGTTCTGGTTTCCTTCTTTGAAAAGCATGGAGGGGTTTTCTATGTGAGGCCCGCCCTGGGCGTCCTCAGTCCCTGTTCCGCTGCTTGGGAACCACACACACTTGCGTCTGCAGGAGCCTCTGAGCTGGCAGGGGAGGATTCTGCTTCCGAGGAGGCCAGAGGCAAGTCCAGGCTCAGGTGGGGGTTCTCAGGGGCTCAGCACAGCCGCCAGAGCACCCCACACAGAGGCTGGGCCCCGAGGCACCTGCCCGGGAAGGCGGCTGATGAGCCCGGGCTCAGGGCCTGTCCTCCCACAGAGACCTCACCCCTCTCATGACCGGGTCCTCGCTGCTGAGTTCCGGGGTTTGTTTTTGCTCTGACGCCTCCCGTGCACCCCACAGATGGTCTGGGAGCTTGGGATGGAAATCCTATGCCCACTCCAACCCCTGCCTGCCCTGCTGTCCCTAGAGGGATGATGAAACTTCCCATCACAGGAGCGCCTCTGCTTGATTTGGAAAAGTGGAAGAGAGAGCAGGAAAAATAGAATCATTCTCTGCTGGGTGTGGGCTGAGGGCTCCTTACATTCTCGCTGTTCTCCTCTCTGGGAGGCACTGAGGACGGCTCCCTGGGAAAGTAGGGGCTGAAGATGATGAGGAACACCAGGCTAAACCCAACGAAGAGGATGAGATGGATGATCTGGGGAACGGGGCTGGGGCACAGCTCTGTATCAATAACACTCAGAGGAAAGAGAATATCCATGTCAGCTGCACTGCTGTCCTCCGGCTACTGAGCCCTGGGCATCCCCTCTGGGAGTATTTATTGGGGCCCAGGCCCACATCACAGAGCTGGGGCCTCCCCCTCACAAAGGGCTGCTTTAAGGGTGGGTGGGCAGTGGGAGGAGGAGGCTAAATCCCAGCCCTGCCCACCACCACCCACCCCTGCAGTTCCCTTCACCCTCCTGGCCTTCTCAATGTTTCTCAGGGTTTCTCAGTGTTGGTCAGGCTGGTCTCAAACTCCTGACCACAAGTGATCCGCCCACCTCGGCCTCCCAAAGTGCTGGGATTACAGGCATGAGCCACCATGCCTGGCCATTTTTTTAGTTCTTTTAACATACAGTAACTGCTTTGAAGTCTTTGTTTGCTAAGTGTGACATCTAGGGACACGAAGACAGTTTCTATTGACTGGTTCCCCCCACACTTTCCTGTTTCTTTTTGTCTTGTAACTTATCATTGAACACTGGATGCTTTAGGTTATAGACTGTTCTACGCTGGATGCTGATTCTTTTCTCCTGAGAATTGTTGTTAGTGTTTTGTTCATTTGTTTGTAACCTGCCTGTACTAAATTTGTAAATTCGGTCAGCAGTGTGTAGCCACAGCCGCCTGTGCTCATTTTTTGTTTCTGTTCTTATGCATGGCTTCCGAGGAACCGCTCCTTTATCTGCATGCATGGTATTCCGCCAACAGTTGTGTGAATTTGTGCACTAACATCTTGAGTCGGTGAGGCTCCCATTGCTGCTGATGGATCTCCCCGTGGACTGGGGCGTGCACACAGAGCTCAGGCCGTCTGCTTTCCACAGGCATCTCCCCTCGCCATGTCTTCTCTTCACATGCGCTCAGGCACTGTCTCAGTCAGGGATGCTGGGTGGTTTGGGCAGGTTCTGGTCTCTGGGGAGACGAGCAGAGCCACTGGTCCTTCCTGTTTGTTTGCATCAATATCCCTGTTTGAAAATTCTCCAAATCGGCCGGGCGCGGTGGCTCATGCCTGTAATCCCAGCACTTTGGGAGGCCGAAGTGGGTGGATCACGAGGTCAGGAGATCAAGACCATCCTGGCTAACACAGTGAAACCCCGTCTCTACTAAAAAATACAAAAAACTAGCCGGGCGAGGTGGCGGGCGCCTGTAGTCCCAGCTACTCCGGAGGCTGAGGCAGGAGAATGGCGTAAACCCGGGAGGCGGAGCTTGCAGCGAGCTGAGATCCGGCCACTGCACTCCAGCCCGGGCGACAGAGAGAGACTCCGTCTCAAAAAAAAAAAAAAAGAAAATTCTCCAAATCATGTGAGTCCCTCTGGTGGTGACAGCAAAGCTGCTGGTTTCGGGGCGTTCAACAAATGTGTTTTTCATTTAGGTCTATGAGCCCGGAGTGGTGGCTCAGGCCTGTAATCCCAGCACTTTGGGAGACTGAGGTGGGTGGATCACCTGAGGTCAGGAGTTCAAGACCAGCCTGGCCAGCATGGTGAAGCCCCATCTCTACTAAAAATACAAAAATTAGCTGGGTGTGGTGGCGCATGTCTGTAATCCCAGCTACTCGGGGGGCTGAGGCAGGAGAGTCACTTGAACCCAGTAAGTGGAAGTTGCAGTGAGCTGAGATTGTACACAATAAATTAACGATTTAATGCCCATATAATGGAGTGCTGTGAAGCTCTTAAAAAGAATGCCATGAGGATGATCAACAAATACTGTTCTCCTGGGTGAGGATTATTACCATCAGCTCCATTTTTCAGATGAGAAAACTGAGACTTAGACAGATTACATAATTTTCCAAAGGTCACTCCCTACTGAATGTAGGAGCGGGGATCTGACAGCCACCTGATCACACGCAAGAACAGCATTCTCTCCTCCGCTCTCCTCCATGGCCCCCTGTGACTCCCAGGAGACCTCCCCAGCTCTGCAGTCCCCAGGGCCCTGGTGTCCATAACCCGAGGAAGGGGAAGGGCCGTGAGATCTCGGGCTTTCTCACTCTCCGAAGATGAGCAAGTGAGAACGAGGCTTTGCTTAGAAGTATAAATAAATGCGACATTTATTGCCTATCAAATATGAGAAGCAGTTTCTCTGTTTAACATGTGTTAGTATCGGTGTCCCTTGTTATTCAAACTCTCCCTATTGAGCTCGAGAATCAAAGTCAGATAACTTTGTCGATAAATCCCTTCCTCTCTGCACCCTTGCTACTCACTGTCTCAAGACCCAAACTCACTGGGACAAGGCGCTGGCCTCCTGATTCCAGCCTGGTGTCTGCCTCTCACTACGCACATCGGGAGCCAGAGAGCAGAGGAGGGGCGACTGTGAGTGCACAGAGCACACACGTGCGATGGGATTGCCCCCGCCCCGCCCCCATTATCTCTGTGGTGTGATGAGGAGAAGCTTTCACCTTTCCAGTGAGCTGCTGTGCTGCTTGCACTTTCACAGGCGTGTTTACGTGATGGATTTTCGTAAATACCGCCGTCAGTGGAGGCCTCTTGTCCCCATCTCGGGAACCATAACCCAGATTCCCAAAGGGGAGCTTGCCCTCATGGATGGAAACTGAGGCCCTCAGAGATGCCATCGGCCTTGATCCCTTGCTCCTATTCAAAGATCTCGACATGACCGGAGATTCCTTGGGGCAGCCGGACATGCCTGTGTTGAGGAAGCGTCCACTCACACGCCGTGGGAACGTTGTAGATTTTGCTGTGATGAAAACTCCCTGTGAGGCCCCCGGTGCCCAGGGCCACTGCTGGGTGCTTTTGAGGGTGGGAGGTGGAGGCGTTTCCGTTTTGCTTGGGGGATCAGCATCACCCTTTCTTTCTCCTTTTCCTCTGGGCGGGTGCTCAGATGGTGAGAGCACAGTGCTGATGAGGTGGGCCCTGGGGTGGAACCCACGGCCCCCTCTGACTCCCAGGAGACCTGGCCAGCTGCAGCGGCCCCCGTGGACCAGCAGAGGGACAAGAGAGGAGCTGACGTGGAGGAGCCGAGGCCCACTGGGGGCTCCGGGAGAGTCCGTCCGCCTGTGGACAGCAGCTCAGGGCTTCAGCTGCTTCCAGAGAGGAAACACCGCTCCCTAGACTGAGGCATCGTTCTGGTTAAAAAAAAAAAAAAAAAGTTGTTTTCATCTTCGTGTAAATTTTTGTTTGTAACAATATGTTAGTTGTGACAGTTACCACTGTTTTTTTTTTTTTGAAATTATTTATAGAGATGGGCTGTTGCTACATTGCCAGGCTTGTCTCAGACTCCTGGCCTCAGTGGTCCTCCCACCTTGGCCTCCCAAAGTACTGGGACTACAGGTGTGAGCCGTGGCAGCTGGCCTGTTTTTCTTTATACTACAGATGTCATCTGAAGCTTTAAAGCCTCCTGGAGTGAGAGCTAGTTCATAACCACGCTGTTTGGAGAGAAGAGAACTACCTGGAATTCTTGTTCTCCAAAGATGTGGAATTGTCATCCCAACAACAGCCGTCCCTCGCTCTGTCCTGAGGACCCTCAGGTGTGGCCCATCCACCCCCTCAGCGTTTCCCTCTGTCCTGAGGATCCTCAGGTGTGGCCCATCCACCCCCTCAGCATTTCCCTCTGTCCTGAGTATCCTCAGGTGTGGCCCATCCACCCCCTCAGTGTTTTCCCTCTGTTTTGGAGATCCTCAGGTGTGGTCCATCCTATTAGTGCTTTCCTTGTACTGGGGATGCTCAGGTGTGATCCATCCATCTTGTTAGTGTTTTACGTCTTTCCTAGAGACCCTCAGGTGCCATCCATCATCCCATTAGTGTTTACCTCGGTCCTGGAGACCCTCAGGTGTGGTCAATCCATCCCATTAGTGTTTACATCGATCCTGGGAACCCTCAGGTGTGGTCCATCCATTTCCTTAGTGTTTACCTCTGCCTTGGGACCCTCAGATGTGGTCAATCCCCAAAGCGTTTTATCTCTGTTCTGGGGACTCTCCGTTGTGGCTCATCCATCCTCTTAGTGTTTACCTCTGTCCTGGTGACCCTGAGGTGTGGCCCATCCCCTTAGTGTTTACCTTTGTCCTGGGGGCCCTCAGATGTGGCCCATCCATCCCCTTAGTGTTTTACCTCCATCCTCAAGACCCTCAGGTGTGTCTATTAATTCCTTTAGTGTTTACCTCATGCTGGGGACTCTCAGGTTTGGTCTATCCCAGTAGTTTTTATGTGTGTCCCGGGAACTCTCAGGTGTGGCCCATCCACCCCCTCAGTGTTTCCCGCCAACCTTGGTAAGCTCAGGTGTGGCCCATCCACCCCCTCAGTGTTTCCCTCCGTCCTGAGGACCCTCAGGTGTGGCCCATCCACCCCCTCAGCATTTCCCTCTGTCCTGGGGCCGCTCAGGTGTGGCCCATCCACCCCCTCAGTGTTTCCCTCTGTCCTGGGGACACTCAGGTGTGGCCCATCCACCCCCTCAGTGTTTCCCTCTATCCTGGGGAAACTCAGGTGTGGTCCACCCCCTCAGTGTTTTACCTCCCACGTTCTCTATGTTTTGTTTCCCATCTTCCCACACAGGTGGAGAGAGGAGGGGATCCCATTGCCTGTGAGGAGGTCACGGCTCCTGGGTGGGCCCTGCAGATTGTGAAGTTCAAGTCACAGCTCCTGGAAACGTCTCTGTGTGTCAAGATCGTGGGGGTGAGACAGATGCAGGGACCACACTCTGCCCTGCTCTGTACCTCTGAGTGTTGATCCAGCTGCCTTGTGACCAGGACACTTAGAAGAACCGTAGATCCTGCAAGAGGGCAGGTTTGGAGAGCGAGATGAGCATGCTTGAGGGATTAAAGTGTAACTTGAACCACTGCCTTGCAAACTGCATGAGGATGTGCAGGTGTGTGTGTGTGCTGGGAGGATGTTTAGCAGCCTCATGGAGGGGTAACTGACATACAAGAGAACAAGGCTGGGCGTGGTGGCTCACGCCTGTAATTCCAGCACTTTGGGAGGCCGAGGTGGGTGGATCACCTAAGGTCAGGAGTTCGAGACCAGCCTGACCAACACGGTGAAACCCCGTCTCTATTAAAACTACAAAAAATTAGCCAGGCGTTGTGGTGGGTGCCTGTAATCCCAGCTATTCTGGAAGGGTTCCAGATGCCGGGAGCCATGGAAATTATCCTCAT